CAACCCTAAGTATTCTATGATTCTATGATAACTGAAATGAAGATTTTAAAATTAGTATAGTTTGAGATATTTATATGACTTATTCTTTTTAGATCTGGGGTTGCAAAATGACAACAGACTAACCAGTTCATTTGCAGAGGGTTTGGGGCAGAGTTCTTCGTTTAGAATTCTTATCTAATATTTTAGTGATTTTATTTTCAATTTTGGCACTGGCAAAATACTGAGACATTTGGGTAACAAGGAAATCACAGTTATATTTCTTCACTTGTTTAAACTGAATATACTTCAACACACAAACATCAACCTGTTTTCTTCAGGAATATGAAGGGCCATGAACTGCAAAGGATTCAGGCACTGTATCATCCAGCCTTGTCGTTCACTGATCCGAGAGACATCAACCTTCAAAAAGTGGTTTGGCACTCTGCTCCAAAGCACATGAGTAAGAAACTGGACATGGAGACGTGGAGGACATTGAGAGATGGGGTTTTTGTGTTCACTTTTGAATAAGCCAGCAGATAATGGCATCACATTCTGGAAAATTCCAACAGAAGAGACAATCAGTGTCATCATCTTTACCAAACTATGTATATATTATATTTTTCAAGAAATAAATTCAACATATAGTAAATTACAGTGCAACAGGAAATTAATATTTTTGTAAATGATTGTAAAACCAGCAGGGAACGGTTGGCAGATTAGCAGCAAGAGAGCGTTGTACATAACAATACAAAAAAAATTTTAAATAGCTAAATTTGAAATAGAAACTTGAATGGAATGTGTTGTCACATCCTTGGACCACAGATCTGAACTGCACTCTTCTTTTACATCTTCTGATTTGTTAGACATCCACGTCTCCAAAGCAAGGAAGCAAATTTTAGCTCAGTTTTCTCTAGTGTGCTGTCAGAATATACTTTAAAACTATTTTAAAACCCCAACCTAATCTGCAGATGCACCAGTCATCCACGCTCTGTTTGTTTGCCTTACTGACCTCAGTGATTTCGTTTCATCATGAAGGATGAGATTCAGAAAATTCAACAAGACTCTGCAATATTCTCTGTCAATTCTAACCAGTTACAACCCTTCTCATTCAATGAACTGTGTTTTAAATACATGAAACATTTAAAACTGAGTTAAGAATAAAAATGGCAATAGTGCAAACACTTGAAATCGCAAAAATGTGCCCAATTACAAGAGCACACTGCAGGCAACAAATGGTCAAAATAAAATCTAAAAAACACCAAATCATTATTTGATATGATATATTAGTCCTAAACCTGGACAAACCCAAGCATTATTTACCTTTATTCTTCCCAATTCAAACTGGAAAACACTGGGGCTTGTAGCTTGAGCAAATACAGCAGGAAATAACTTTGTACTCGGTTCAACCTAAATCAAAGATGCACAAATATATAACCACTGAAGACAGCAAAACACTATTATATATTAAAAGAACACCCTAATATTTGTATTGACAGTCAGTAAGTGCAAGCTTTTGAATAAAACCTGAGAAAATCACAATAGGAGAGGAGAAATCACTGATTTCACTAATTACTTCCAATTGTACAAAAGTTTCTAATAAATTGTAGTCTGAAGATTCAGTTGTGTCCCTTTCCACTGAAAGACATGATCAAAAAACACTCACCTGATAGTATGTGCCCAGTTCCTTGCCATTAGCTGTGAAGGTCAGCAGGCCACTGGCAGCATCAACCAAGCAACCAATCTCCAGACCATTATTATTACGTCCTTGTCCAGGGCTCATGCTCTCTCCTGCACACACCATATAGCAGTTGCTGCGTTTTATACTGAATGTCAAAAGACAGAATTATTTATGGATGGTGTGTAAACTTTATGTAGTGGGCTAAGAACAATTTTGCATGCCTGCAACCAACAAGCTCTTGTGGCTGAAAACAACAGACCCAAGCATAACCAATGCCAAAATTCAATGAAACCTAGACTTCACAATTGAAAAAATAAAAATTGAAGATTGCAAAATATTAACAAGTTCAAATCTTTTGTAAAATTCTATGAGACAAAACTGACTTTCAAAGCTAATGTTTTAAATCTTTGATGTTAAACACAAAGTTTCTGGCAGGGATCATAAGCTAAAGTACTGAGAGGAGGTGCTGCACTAATTTTGGCCTGCTCAAAATCAAAAAGTTCTAAAAATGCTACAAGGTATTTTGCTCTACTTTGTAGCAGTTCATAAGTCAATATTTACATGATCATGGTCTGAAACTACATAGAAAAGCTGTGCTTATTGATTTTATTAGATTATTACTATATACATGGAGTAATAATCACATCACTGGTCCTTCATAAGCAAGAGAACAAGTTACACTTTTTCCTATTATATTCTATTGTATTTTTTTAACATAAACCTAATTATATTAAATTAGGTGGATTTATAGCTTATAGATTGTTAGTTGCTTTTATGGGTATAAAATACGTATCTTTTTAAAAAAATTTTAACCAACCTCTCATGAACCTTCCCTTTTTCATCTCCCAGTGTAACTGTGACAGTACGCACTCTTTCCAAGTCAAAGCTTGTGTCATACTGGTGAAAGTCAGATGTAATCCAGCCCACCCAGACATTAGCAGGTTCTTGACCAGGAAATATTCTCACTGAATAATAGTACTGTCAAAAAAAAAGAAAAAAAAAAATATTAAAGATGCAGCTTATATGATTGTATTGTAGGCTTTTGCATCATAGCATTCTACGATATTTTTGTAGTGCAGCTACAATTTCTATATTGTAGGTGACTCAGTTTCTAGTATCTAATATCTTTTAGAAAGAGGAAAATACATCCAAAAGAGAAGTAATTTTTTCCTTTAAAAATTCAAGACTGAGTGCTTATGGAGCTGATCGTGTCAGAGAAGATGCACAAAACCTGCACAGAACTTTCACTGGGAATTCCATTAAATAAATGCTGAGTAAACAAGGTCCTGAACCTTGTTTAATGCAATTTTTCCTATTTATTCCACTATTCTAGAACTTTTTATTCTTCCTCTTTTGTGTTTGGTGTTATTAGTAGTAGTTTCAAAAATGGATTCAATTCACTTATGGCTTTCCCTGTAGAAAATGTTTTAGAATGACAAGTCAAAACAAAAAGAACATAGTGGTCTAACTTCAGTAGTACAGGATTAGCAAAGCAAACAGCTAAAATACCAATCCTATGTTACTATACCGTGGAAGTTTGCATCAAATAATCATAGTCATCCCTATCATCTGCTAGCACATCCTCAGTAAGCCGTGCAGAGTGACTCGTGCTATAATCTGGCTTTGTCCTCCTGAGCATAAATCTGTAATAAATAAAATTAAAATCTGTATGAGACGCTCAATATATCAATATATACACAATTTTACATTGATACCTTATCCCTAAATACATATTTATTATGCTAGCCCTAAATACACAATATTGATTACATTATTAGTACATAACACTAGTTATCACTTCCATATAGATTAAACCAAAATAAATTATCCAGAAAAGAGAAAGAGACAAGCTCATTTTTAAAAGTGCTTAAATGAATTCTGAGCTTAAGCTATATATTCAAAAGTTACTTGGAAACTAAACTCATGTAACTTAAAAAAAACTACCAGGCTAGTAAACATCTATCACTTTGGCCAAGTTTGGTTAAGAAGAGCAGAAAAGAAATGGAAAGCTACAGTAATATTGTCTAGTTAATGGCACAGTATTTCCATCTCCACAGCATCATCAAGGTATTCTGCTCCAGATTCTGTAAGAAAAATTAGGGAGAATAAATGTGTCTGCTAAAGAACTTACTCTTATGATTATTTGACTCATTGAGTGAGATGAGAAGCTAATATACATTTCTACATAAAGATTAGCTAACATCTCCAGCTTTTTGGAAGCCATGTGAAAAAATGTTCTGTGTCACTTTGAAGACTTTGTAGTTCTGTCAGAAAGAATCTCTGCGGTTTTAAAATGCACTTCACCTAATGATCACAAAAGCCTTCGCAATAAAACAAATTATAGGTTTCTAAAATGTTAAAAAATGTTTTCAGTTTTCTGCTTAATTTTAATCTACATATTGAATATGATATAATTTCATTACATAAAGGTTAACTGTCCTGTCTACTGTGTTACATCCAAATTTATGTCAGATTTAGGTAAAAGTCTCTGCTGACCTGACTGGCATGTTTTTTGAATTACAATTCAATAAGGGGG